TGAATTATGGTCCACGGATAAATTATTTTTAACATTTGTCAAGTCTGGATTCTTAGACGTACACCTTTTAAAAGTATGACCCTTTTCATTACATTTCCTGCAAATAATTTCTTTTTTACGCTGAGGACAATCCGTCGCTATATGTCCATAATCATTACAATTGAAGCATTTCGGCTTACCCTTTTCATTGCGGATGCCAGAATTATATTCCCTTTTCCTTCCGTCTGTTTTATAAAATTTATCTCTCAGATTGTATTTATTATCAAAACTGTTTTTAAAACCCACTTTGAATTACCATCTGTCTGCATGGAATCGTTAACATTTCTTTGTCTTGAATACTGATTATAGGATCCTTCATAAAATTTAGAACCAGATTTGGGGGCTTTGAATTATGCCTAAAAGTTTTATTTTCTACTTGAAGTACTTTTATCCCTGCCCGAATATTTTCATATTCATCTAGTTTTTTTCAGCCAACTCTTCGAGATTAATGAATTTAGACCAATCATCAATGAAATGGTCTCGGATAGCAGCGGGGCCCTTTTTCTTAAATTGATCAGTAATAATAAGTTGTTTTGAAGAGTCAAAATCTGTTACATTTAATTCAGCAAGCCACTCTTCAAATAATTTTTTAATTCAAACGTGAAGTCTTTCCACGTATTACGCAATGTTTTAATATGATCAACGAACTTTTGCCGAAACTGTTCAGGGCTTAACTTAAATTTTTTTCTCAGTAGCAGTTGTTTAAAACGCTTATATAGTCGTTAGCTTTCCTCTTCTGATTCACGGGCAATTAATTGAGTTATTTCATAAGGCAATATACCCCCAACAGCTGAAACCCAGTTTTGTTCTTCTAACCCAATACGTCGTGCCTGTCTCTCAAATAAACTAAATAAAAACTTATATCACCTTCATTCAAATCATACTTATGCATTAATTTACTCATATCACAAATATTACTTTCTACTAACATTAGAAGGACCAGAAATCATTTACATCACTACTTCTGATTTCCGATTCTATTTTCTATTTTTCAAGTTCAAATGCTCTTTGATTATCTTTTTCTTTTCCTAAAATTTCTAACTTTTCCCTGTCTAAACGATCATTTATAATTCATCTAGCATTTGTTTAGTAAAGTCTTCGTTAATTCTTACTATTTCAAAATCTATCTCTTAAGCCTACATTTTAATATCAGAACGGACATCTACATCAAGTTCCAAAGCAAGTTCTTTTAAGTCACATTTCTTGCCTCCTTGCCAAATAAGCCTCTTAGACTTCAATTTTCAAACAATAATACAATTAATTATACTTAAGTTCTTTCCATTTAATACTTAAACATAACATAAACAGTTTATAAATTCACGTACTTTTCTACTTTCAGTTTTGGCGAGCTTCCGCATTCAATTTAGGCTTAACGTACAGTTAAGGCAATATGTTGTTAAATCCTAGGTATATAAATCTAATTTAATCCCACTTCTGAAATGTTAGCATTTAATTAGTTCCTTTATTAAAAACACATTCCGTCAAACATTAATTGTTAAATACTTGCTTTATTCAGAAACATTACCGTCAATATTACTGCTCAAGAAACTTACAGTTCAAAATATTATCGTTCTGAAAAAAACTGTTGTTGCCAATCGGGAAAATACATTTTAAATAAAATTAATACGTTGCGTTTACATGTATTTTCTCCCTTCTTTCTGCATACCATCGTAGTGTAACGGCAGCACACTTAATACGTATTCGTGCGGTCCAGATTCGGATCCCTGCAAAAGTTTTGCACATTTTTCTCGTCTCCTGCTTCATAATAACTTAATGATGCTACAAAGTAACATGATATTTATATAAAATATCAGGATAAAGCTTCCAATTTCATAGAGTTATTATTATTATCTCTACCAAAATATAAAAATAATTACTGTATTACATTAAAATTCTATTAAAAAGCATTTTTGTTTCGCATACTGTTCCTTTATCTTCATCGAAAAAAAAATTGTGAAATAAAAATGCAAAAATTAAAAAAAAAAAAAAAAAAAAAAAAAAAAATCAGCAGATACTGTTAATCATACATTTTTTTAAGGTTCTTACATTTCCTACAATATTCGTAAAAGTAACGAACGAAAAGTACTATGATGTTGGTTGTTTTTTATCTCTACATTTCGTTTCGTATAATTTTAGTAAAAATAACGTCCAAAAATATACACTTATTTCACCAAAATCATACGTATGTTTTTGGAGGCGTGCTGCTTGGCTGTGCTTTAATAGCTGAAAGGTCCGAAGAACTTGCTTCAAAAACTGGCGTAAAATTTTATGCATTACACTTGAGCAAAATAACATTATTTAACAGCTATCCAACTCATAATTATTCCCATTTCGCTTGTTGTTTAGTAATCTAAGTTAAAAAGTAATATGTTTTTTTTTCTGGAATTTTAATGATATGGAAAATATAAAACATGAAATTAAACTAACTAAATAAATAAATAATTGCATTTAATAAAAGTACACTCTATAACAAAAAAATCGACGCACCAAGAAGGAATCATCCGATTTGCTTTGAAATTTCGTATGCATAAATGTTTTGACCAAATTTGCAAATGATTAAAATTTAGTGTCCAATGAATGAATAGTGCATCGGAACTGCGCATCCAGCATATGTATATAAGGAGCTGTTCTTGAACTGTTGGTCAAAAATTTTTTGTTAAATATCATTTTGTTACAATGGTGCTAGGCTCGATCACGTTGTTATGATGTTGACAAGGGACGTATAGTCTTTAGCGACGAATCCCGCTTCCAATTGTGACGATCATCGAAGACGTGTCTAGAGACGACCACAGCAGCCTGTCGATCCTGCTTTTACTATTGCACGCCACACAGGCCCTCAATCAAGAGTTATGGTCTAATGTGCCATTTCCCTTAATAGCCGGACCCCTTTGGTCGTCATTAGAGGCACTCTTACAGCACAGCGGTACGTCGACGACATTCTGGGACCTGTTTTGCTACCGTTCCTTTTGTAGTACCCTGCCTTTATTTTTCAGCAAGATAATGCCAGACCACACGCGGCACGTGTTACTATGAACTGTCTTACAGGTTGTTAAACACTTCCTTGGCCATCCAGATCACCAGATCTCTCTTCCATCGAGCATATCTGGGATATGACGGGAAGACGACTGCATCTACTAAGAATGTTGATGACCTAGCCCGACAATTGGAGCAAATTTGCCAATAAATACCGCAGGAGACCATCCGGGAGCTTTATCAGTCTATGCCAAGCCGTGTGGCAGCTTGCGTCCAGGGTAGAGGTTGGTCAACACCTTGCGTTGTAACTATGTAATAATTGAAATAAATCATTTAATTGTTCTGTAATTTTAATCATTTTCTAATTCTGTACATAATCTTTCTATCCCTCAATTTTTCTTTCCATCGGGCAACTCCTTCTTGGTGCGTCGATGTTTTTGCTATAGAGCGTACTTTCTTGTTTGAAATGTAAAATTAGAAGTTAATTTATTTCCGCTCACATATTTTTAATGTTAACTGAGAAAAATAGTAGTGAATATTCATTAAAACATCAATAATTAAAACATAGGAATAATGAAATAAGGTTAAGTTTAACACTTTAAGATTCATCAGTTACTAACATGAGAAAAACCTAGTCCCCTTCGATGAATTGCGTTGTTTTAGCAAAGCAGTATCATATGTGAAGATATAAATAACTCTTATGTAAATCTTAGTAACATAAGAGTATTATTTTTTTAAAATCTAGAATACGATATAAGTATACAATTTTTTAAAGAAATATTGTTATTTTGTTTCCGTAATATTTAGCGATATACAAGCAATAAATCTACTTCTGCTAAATTCATAATTTATAAAGGCAGTAAATTAGCACATTATTTTCTCTGGAATTCCAAGCTATTACCTGAGCGCTTAATTAATTATGTTTACATTTGTTGAAGGTTTTTCTTCCACCAGTCTATTCTGAATGAATATCGTCATCAGTTTCAGATTTGGAATCCTGAGCGGTATATCACGGTCGGTTTCATGCTAAAATGAAATATTTGGATAAAATATTCTAAAATAATTTTGATATATGTGTTGATCACGGAACACACAATATATTTTTTCTTACGTTACCGCATTAACAACGTCTTTATATTTCGTTTAAGGATACTGAACGAAAGTAATACCTGTCATATTTTCTTCTATTCATCAAATGAAGTTATTCAAAATTTCTGTTACAACATGGGCAGCTATATGTACAAATGTCTATCGTTCGCTCTAGATGTCAATATTTGCGGGAAATTATTGAGAAACCCAATAAATTTTACATATGCAAAAAAAAAAAAAAAAAACTGAAATGTTTCAGATTTTAAATTACGTCCAAAGGGGCGTTTTTTTAACGTTTTGAGTGTTACCTTTATTTATTAAATTTCTTTGCACTTAAACCATAAAATTCAGTTCAAGAGCATATATCGCAAATAATCTTAATTAAGCATATCTTTAGAATTTCCGATATACACAGTCTCGCGAGCTGGAGATAAAAGTATTTTTTTTTTTTCTATATAACGTTGCCATTTCTCTCGCTTTTAAAGCATTGAGTTTGTAAATCAAAAATTCGTTAAAGTTTTACAAAATATAAAATCTATAATAAAACAAATTCCAAAATTTGGGATTTCAGATGCCCATATTCGCAGTAGGATTTCGTCATTCAAAATTCGATGGCTCTATGTACCATTGTTTTATCACAATGCGAGAAATAGACAATCATTTATGCATTTTTTCATTTTTAATTTCTTCAAATATAATGCAGGACTCTAACATTTTGTGGCAACAGTTTGAAAGTGAACCGACGTTTATGAGTCCGACGCAAATCGCAAAACGAAAACAATAGTCCTTCAGGGACAAAGCCCCTTTGGACTAAAAAAAAAAAAAAAAAAAAAAAAAAAAAAAAGAAATTAATTTCTTATCCAACAGCGAAATTATTTTTGAAAGTCATGTATACTTACTATTATGGTGTGAGGAAGTCCGAAGATTTTATTAGAGGTAACTTGCAACCCTATCAAGATGTTGTGATCGTAGCCGAGCTCCCGAAGTCGACGGAGAGTTTCAATCCAGTCAAAGGACGCTGCATCCCAGCTCTTCCCTTTCAACATTGGCCACCCTCCGAGAGAGTCCAGAATTCCTTTTAGAGGCTCGAGACCTTTTTCTTCGATTTTTTCTACTCACAGAAAAATTTAAAACACCAGACACACAAGCGAGAACAAATATTCAGACAAATACTCAAAAATGTTTGTGATAGTTTATTTAACTTTTTTTTCCAACTTTCTCTTAGGTTTCGTTTTAATTATGCATTCACTCAGTTAAGAGATTTAAAGACTTGATTAGCAAGCGATGTTTTGTGAAATGAAGGGAAGAATCATAACCGAATGATTTTTAATAGACACACATTTGGATGTGCTTCGGCTCTCGTGCTTGCTTTGTATCAGGAAGCCGCTGCTGGATTCAGGTACTTTACCGGACCCTAGTCAGATTGATAAGCGAGTTTTGATTTAGATTATGTTTTCAATACAAATATGTTGTAGCTTTAAGCAGAGTGCTAATATTGTGTCTAGCTGAAACGTACACCCAGGCGGTGACCGCCGTAAACATCGCGGACGAGAACGTCGCGAAGAAAACAACGCAAGGCGAAAACGTCGTAGTAAAACGTCGCATCGTGGGAGAAAAGAAAACAAAGAGAAAAAAATCGCAGTTCTAAAACAGCGTGGTACAAAAATCGTGGTCGAAAGCAGTTCAAAAATTTTGTAGCTTACAAACATCGTCGTCGAAAATATCTTGGTAAAAAAAAAAAGTACTTACAAATCATCGCATGATGATAACATCGCACACATGCGTTTTCGGGTTTTAAAAGTTGTAAGTGCATGTTCGCATAATGATTTGGGATAGCAGGAAGGAAAAGGGATTCTTTTAATTCTATATTTATATTCATTATAATTTATGAGGAATTGAATTATAAAAAGGTGAATTAGAAAACTTACCAGTTTCCATACAAGACCTGTACATGCTTTTCAACAAGTTTTCATAAGATTCGTCTTCCGTTGTGTCTTTTTCTAACAATACTGGAAATAAAAATATATTCCTGCAGATGAAATTCCATTAACATTTTATCTTTCATTTTAAAATCTTTTTTTTTTAAGTTATCAACTTCAGGTTTCAGATATCATTGCATATCTCTTTCAGGTCAATATGCCATTACGCATTACTTGAAGAGAAGTCATAGTTTATGTTAAAACTTTCAGAAACTGTGGAATGAGACGTTAGTGAAAAAGTCAATAGGAAGACTATTGAATTCTTAATGAAAAAAAGTAATTTGTTATCTGTACTTAAAATGTTCAGCAAAGTTCCAACGCTCTAAAAAACATAAATTAGATTTAGGCTATTATATAAGGAAAGTATTTAGCTAATACAGTGGTTCCCAAAGATTTCCAAGTCGGGGCGCCTTTTCCATAGCGCCCGACCCAAAAGTAAAAGTTATGACTAAGTATTAGTAAGATATCAAATTAAACAAAACTCGTGTATCATCATTATTTAACATTTTTTATTTTATTAATACTAACTTAGTAATTAAAATGATGATGAGGCAAAATTTCAGTGCACATTTTCTCAAATCATGGAGTCAAATTGGACACAGCCGCCCTCATTTCGAAATGTTTTGTTCAAAAATATGTCCTTTGCTTGGACCACGTTGTAGGTCAAGGGTACCGGAAACCGTTAAATGTTAAAATCTATAAGAGATTTCCCAGCGCCCAAGACTTAAACTGATGATATGAGAGCATTTCTGAGATTAGCAGGCTACTACAGTAATTATATTTCGATGTATTCAGCAATCGCTGTTCCACTAACTGATCTTTTAAACGGAAAAACAATAAAGGGTGATATTCTGTTAGTGCAGAGAGCGAGAGAGGCTTTCACTGAATTGAAAGAGAAATTATCCAATCACCCAGTTTTATATGCACCCGAATTTACTCTTCACTTTATTCTACAAACTGATGCATCTGATCGTGAAATGGGAGTTCTACTAACCCAACTCTCTATCAAGGGAGAAGAAATATCGTATTATACAGGGTGCGTCAGAAAAATGTATACACACTTTGAACTGTCATAGAAAATTTATTTTCCAACCTGCAAAGTTAAATTTCTGCATAAAGTAAGGCTATAGTCCAATTTTGAAAAATAAGTGCACTTTCTGATCAAACAGAATGTTCCAAATGGTGTTTAAAATAAATGTTTAAAATGGTGGCCTTCATCTACACATTCCTGAGTACGAATTACTACTGATTTCGTACCTCGCACCAAAAATGAGATTTCTAAGCACACCGCTTGAGTCTGATCTCAAAACGGGTCAAGGTGACTTGGTTTAAGACAGTATACCTCATATTTTAATGTGCCCCATAAGAAAATATCGAGGGACGTAAGGTCTGGAGAGCTTGCAGGAAATTCGATTGGTCCTCTGTGTCCTATCCACTGGTCTTACATTATCACTCAACACTACCACTTATACTTACACACACCGTCTTATCTAATATAGGATAACAGAAGAGAGCTGATTTTAAAGATACGCTTATTATTTAAAAGAAAGAAAACGGGTTGTTTTTCACTTTAAATGAAAAGAAATATTCAAATTAATGTAATTTATTTAATGTTATGGAGTGTAACTGTAATTTAATTAGCTGTCAATAATCTAATTATTTTTACATACCTCTGAGTTTGAAGAACTTATCATCATAAATTTCAGTAAGAACAGAAACCATGGGTGGGTAGATATCAAAAGGGAAATGTGTGTTCAGCCAGCCACCACAGGCGAATTGATAGAAATCATGACAAGGATTCGTGGTGTTATCCAAACTGTAGTAGATGTCAACAGCTGAAGAAAAATGCTTAGTTACAAAAGAATAGTTTCACTTCTCAGTTATAACTGTCATCTCATATTCAAGTAACAAATAAAGTCTTAATACGAGTATCATTGCTTTCAGATATTTTAGGTACTATAAAATAGCCTCGAATACAAAACCTCGAAACAGGAAATATAGCGTTGCAATGAGAAGGTTTGTCGACAGAAATATCATAAAAGTCTGATATTTTATTTTAAAATAAGGCTTTATTAGACAAGATGATATACAAGAAGCTCTAGACTAACTTAAACTTACAGAAATTTGGAATGTTATGTATGACATTCATAGCTTAGTTTTCACTTTAAATTACAAATGTTTTTTCTGTCCTTATACATCTTAGGTTAAAAATATGAGAATTCTTTTTTCTTCTTGTTTTGTATGTCGCCATTTTGAGTGCTAAATAAAATGTTTCTGTGTTCCGTCATTAGAGTTGCTTCATATTGCCAAAGAAGTATCACAGTCCTAATTATTTTGGAGGCACCGACGAGATCGAATAATCGTGCGTATTTTTATATTATTAGTTCATCACTGAACACAATATTAGTGATACCAGATTATTACTTCCTGTTAATATTGAATTGCTTTATGTTATTAGTTCATCACTGAACGCAATATTAGCGATACGAGATTATTACTTCCTGTTAATATTGAATTGCTTTATTTTATTACCGTATTTGGATATTATTTTTAATATTCATTTTAGTTGTCCAGACAGTAGATATATATATTGCTCTATGTTGTTATTCTTATTTTAGTCACAATTAATGTGTTAGAGAGAATGAACTTCATATAATTTGAATATTTCATTTTTGAGGTATACGTATTTAACAGAGTGGATTTAATTCCGTGATTCCTGACTGCATTAATTAATTAAAGTAATTGAATTGAGATATTTTGAGGACACAGTGTTTGTTAATTTTAAACATAGAAATAATGTCTTACTTAGGAAGAGCTCGTAAGGAAGGTTTGCAAAATCTCGCGGCTGAACTGGGAGTTCATGTGACTGAAGATTTGAAAATAGTCAATTTAAAACAGAAAATTCTTGAAGGTAGAGATTATGATGAAGTATTCGTCAAAGGAGTCTTAGACACAATAATAGAAGAACGGAAAGAGAGGGAGGAAAGGGAAAAAGAAGAAAGGGAAGAGAGGGAGGAAAGGGAAAAAGAAGAAAGGGAAGAGAGGGAGGAAAGAGAAGAACGGAAAGAGAGGGAGGGAAGAGAAGAACGTAGGAGACAGGAAGAAGCAGAAGAGCGGAGAAGGAACGAACAGTATGAATTAGAAAGATTAAGACTTGAAACAGAGACAAAGTTTCAAAATACCGGACAGATTCGGCCGAAAACGGAGCTGCGTCACCTTATGCAGAAATTCGATGACAAGAAAGGAGATATCAGTCTATATTTGCTATTGTTTGAAAGGCAAGCAGAATAGGCTCAAATTGATAAAGAAGAATTTGTATCTCATTTACTAGGACTACTTCCTCACAAAGTAACCCAGTTAATAGCTAGAGAACCCTCCGATAAAGCTAACGACTATGAACACGTGAAGAATTTATTGTTAAGACGGTTTAAACTAAGCCCGGAAAAGTTTAGGAAAAGTGTACCAGAGGATAAATTTCTATTACCTTATACTAGTATGGGTTACGTTAATGGTAATAAAATTTCTATATTAAGGGATTCAGGCGCTAGTATTGATATAGTTTGTCGCAAATACATCACACCGGAAATGCTGACAGGTGAAAATGTGAGGGTGCAATAGCCATTAGATTTGAGTCCAACCTGTTTACCATTGGCTGAGATCGAACTAAATTGCGATCTTGGGCGAGTAATAACTAAGGCTGCCATTATTAGAAATGAACTCGACAAGGGTAGGTATTTATTAGGCAATCGAACTTTTGCACTGTTGAATAAACAATTAAAGGAGCCTGATAGTTGTCCTCACCAGGTTAATGCTGTCTCTACTAGAGCTCAAAGGAAAAGAGAAATAGCTGAAGATAAGATCTTGGAACCGATGGAGGAAGAAAATAAAGCATTCAGAGATGTCTTTGAAGAAGAAGTTAAATCACCGGAATTAAACGTGGAAGATGTTCACGAAAATTTGAAAAACGATAAAGAAATTAATATTGAGAATCATTTTGCAATGCAGCGTTATCATCATCTTTCGGCTTTTGATTTAATATCAAGCCGCTACTAATAACAGACGAAGAAAACAATTGTCGAAAGGAAATGACAATTGAATATTATCCAAAAGGCACAGAAGAACTGAGGAAAGGCTTTGCTGTGAATTATAGCCGAGAAACTGGTCCAACATGGAAGAGATCTAGGCGCCGTCAAGAAAAAAAAAGAAGACTAATTTGAACACTGTCCATTTTCTTCCTATTTAAATGTGGTGTAAAAATATTTGTTTAAAATTTAAAAATTTTGGCCTGAAACTTATGAGAGAAGTTACCTTTTCTCTTTAAGCAATTGAGCAAGCCGAGCTTATAAAACTGTCGAATTTTACAGAACTTTTCCCTTCGGAAAAAGTCTCTCCGTTGGGGAGGAGATTGTAACATCTTTAAATAATATTAAAATCTTGTAGTTTAAATAATTTAAATAGATGAACATTAAGGTATTTGTGAATGGCAATATTTGAAACCAGACTCGAGTGCCACGAGCGACTCTCGCACGAAGAATGTAATTTATTTTTAAATGTTAGAATTCTTTTTTCTTCTTGTTTTGTATGTCGCCATTTTGAGTGCTAAATAAAATGTTTTCTATGTTCCATCATTAGAGTTGCTTCATATTGCCAAAGAAGTATCACAGAATTTGTATGCCTACAGAATTTTTACCTTTTTTGTAACATTTTAAGGGGAAAATGTTTTAAAAATGATAACCAATCTGTTATCGTTTTTTTTAATTTAATAATTGTTATTTGCTTTAAATGGGTTTATGTAATCTGCGAAAGTTAAGAAAATAAGGCTGCGGAAAGATCTTCGGAAGTAAAGAAGCTAAGAAAGGTTTGGTTTGGTTTATTAGATTACTGCAAAGCACTCGAGGGCTATCTGCCTTAAGGAAGGGATGCCTTCGTGGAGGACTTTTTAAGGGAAACTTGCTCGTATACAATTTACACATGGGAAAACCACGAAAACACCCATGCAGCCAGCCCGTTCGCGGGATTCGAACCTCAGACCGAACTACCAGCGTTCAGCGACGTTACCGTTCGGCCACTGGTGGGCCTCAGAAGCTAAGAAAGTAATTCTCAAAGCAAATACTTTACACTTTGTTAAAAGCAACGCATTGCACATTCATAAAAACTTCTTTTATTAGAAAAACGTTAAATTCCTTAAGTTTATTACAGCTCTAGGTTTACAAATTGATTTTAAGGCAACATACATTAATAACGTTTTAATGATTAATTTCATCAAAATTTTTATTCCAAATATTTTATAGTTTCATGAGCACATGCATTAAAACATATATTAACAACAGTTCGTGGCAATTTTAAACTTAAAAATGTGCACTTCCGTGTTATGATACTGTTTTATTCTTAGATTACAATAAAATAAAAGCCATAAAACAAAACATTCTCGATTGAGTATCATTAGCAGAGCTTGGCAACAATACTATAAGGTTCAATATGGATTCCCGCGGGCCGTATGTGGCCCCAGAGTAGTTTTATGAGACCCGCGAATACATACCCACATAAATTAATTGGATATTAAGATAATTTATTTTTATGGCAAAAATTTGAAGAAATTTTATGATTTTGATCATTTTTAATTCAAATTCACAGTTTTGTTACCATTAAAAACGAACATGAATAATTCCCCAGAAAATCTATAAATGGAAGTTAATTAATTTATACTATGATGTAAATTATATTCAAATATTTGAAGATACAAATTTCATAGGCCTTTTTTTCATAAGCCTTTAACAGAAACACCCTCATTTGCAAATTTTTAAGAAAAGAATGACCGCTTTCTTAGGGAATAAATGTACAGTTTTTTCCGCATTTTGAAACTAATAAGTCAAAAAAAAAAAAAAAGTACTTATACTGAAAGACAAACATCTGCAGCTCGTCAGAAAGACAATTTCTAGCAGTTTTTCTCCAAGGTAACAAACGTCGTCAAAATCGAAATTCCATGAGGTATTGTGAAGTTGTAGTGTTGTAGTGAGAAGAAAAGAACTTTATATATTATTTTCATGCTAAGGCATATATTTTTACTTTCTTGTAGCAAGTATTGCAACCACGAAAACTTTCGGGAGTCGTGAAAATGGATATTTTAGCGAAAATATCCATTTAACGGCAAATTAACACATTTAACATTGTGCTAAATTGACTATTCCAAAACAAAAACTAGAAAACTTGACATTATGTAAAAAGACCGTTCAAAAAATCAAATTGGTTTAAAATCATTATATGTAAATCGGAAATTCAAAAGAAAATAACTATAAAGAGCGAAAATGTATATACTTTAAACCAAATTGTCATTTAAACAACGCTCAAAAATTGGGTGGTCCCCGATTATGCTAAAGTAAACTTTTAATACCAAGAAAACGAAAAACCTTTCATAAAGCTTCTTTAAATAAAAAAAATCAAATGTGAGCCTTTACGCAAACTTACCTAAGGGATAATATACTTAATTCTTCGGGTGACCAGACTGTGTTCCTTGTAGAATTCAAAGCTGCTCTTTAAAAGCAAAAAAAAAAAAAAAGCGATAAGGTTCAAAGCGTCCAATAGCAGACCTAAGTATTTAAACATGTGTTCAAAATGTCCTATACTTTTAAACTTCGTGTGCGGGGATGCCAAATGTTGGGTGCATTCTGTAAAAATTATTACCTTTGAGGAGGATGATCGTCGACTGCAATTGGTGAAGAAAGAAACTTCTAAAAGATGCTGTCTTCTGTAAAATCTTAAAACGAGAAAGCAGTACTGGCTCAAAGTGGAGGAAAACAAAAATATGTGTTATAAAAGATAAAAGTCTTCACGTAAT